CTTAGAACTTAATTTTTAGGTGCGTATAAATTTTACCGCAAGTGCAGCCTTTTGAGGTTTTGGAATTGATGTTGGTGGATTTAAGCTAGAAATAAATAAATTTATATTCTTTAATCCTTGCCTTCAAAGCACCATCTCACCATGATTTGTAAGCGGAGGAGAACTGTGCGCGCCTTCAGCTTTTCAGACGCAACACGGGCATCCATTGAGCAGTATTAGTTGCATATACTCAGGCGTTATCTTCAGCGTCGATTCGTCGTGGCGAGTCTTTTAAATCGGTCGATATCCGCAAGCGTCAAAATTCAATTTTCTTCCGTCATAATTGCACTTCTCTGTAACAACCTTTATCGATTTCCGTATTGAGGGGTGTTAAGCAGTGATAAAAGACGGAGATAGCGTTGTACCAGCCCTCAACGGATTTCAACGCGCGGGATTTCGTCGCACAGGACTATTAGACCGCGGGATTTTTGCCGCGGGGTCATGTCGGCACACCGGTAAAAAATCCATGCCGGCGGATTCCTCAAAAATATATTGCAATCATTAGAATCATAAGTTAAAAGAAACCTTCGATTTCTTATTTATTTATGCGGTAATTTTACAAGGTATTGCTTCAATAGGAATTTCAATGAAAACTGATGGAAAAGAAGAAATAAAGATAATTATTACCCTGCGTTACTTAACTTTATAAATTGAGTCCCCCGGGAGGACGATTGAAAATCTCATGATAACAAAGTTACCAAACTTGCAACAGCCTGAGAGAAAGTTCAAGCCGGGAACTTTTATAATTAGCCACTGCTTTATTCTCCTTGGAAAATATGAGATTGAGTAATTAAAGAGTTCCTGGTTTTGGGATCGGAGTTCTGAGAATCGTCCCGGGAAAGTGGCCGCTTGGATGGATCGCAAATTAACTCGCTTTTATTTGCTCGATAATGCCTCTCTGCGCGCCTATCTTTAAAGTCACTTAAAGGCTTCCTGCCTTGTAAACGCTAAAGGAGCGAATGCTTTTCCGCTACTTTTTACGAAGGGCTGAGCACGCAACTCATTCAAAGCCAGTTTGCTTTGCTTTGCTGCACAATGGAACAGGGGCAAGTTAATGAGGAGTGGGGGAGGGGGAGCTTTTTTTAAAAAAAATTGGGCGCAAAGGCAAGACAGGCGGAAGAGAGGTGAGGAACGCAGCCCTTTGAACTTTTATTGACTGGTCCGCTCACAAGTATTAAATCGTAAAAAGCAAAAGTCGGCTTCCTCTCCTGTTCACCTGCGTCGGATTTAGGTATAACATGACTGTGAAGAATATTGATTTGTCACCAGCATAACTGATCATTGAACCAAAGAACGACACTGATTGATGGTGACATCTGAGGACTAATCTTTATTAATAAGTTCCACTATAAATGTGACTGTGATACATTTTCATAAAAGCCGTTGAGATCGGTATGTTGTAATTGAGGGAAAGCTTGTAATTTCTTCGTATAAACCTCTACCACTCTAATGAAAATATATCTGGGAGATTAAAAAAAAATGTAAACGATTCAGGCATGTAAATGTTATAATTCCTTCTCACCACCTCTCAAAAAATGTTGGCGTATTACTAGATTAGATGAAAGCTCGATTAAATGTTAAATGGATAAAATTACAGAGAAAGGTACTAAACAGGCTCGGACTGGCCATGAGGTCAATCTGCCATTGGCACATACGACCCTTTGGCACGCCGAAAACGCGCCCCTCTGACACATAGCAAAATAAGAAGAGAAAAAAATTACAACCGAGAATATTGCGGAAAATTTCTTAAATGAAAGGAGGAAGAGAGAGCAAGGAGTATAGAATGGTGCTTTTACGCATGATAGTGGTGAACAGAGGTCCAAGAACTACTTTCTAGGGCGAAAACACTTTTCTGTAAAATTTTCACCTTTTTTGTTGACATGCCGGCGCTTTATCATACCCCTCTTTCATTCGCTATGTGTAACTCCCTCAGAAGCGATGGTCGGTTCGAATTTTAGACGTACGCCCCCCCCCTATAGACCTCTTGGGAGACCTTTAAACATATTTCTTCCTCTTCAAAATGACTATTGATTAGGACATACCATAGCATATCTCGGGTAAACTTAACCTTAATTTATCTCGAAATGCAAAAATAAGAGACATCTAAAGTGTAAACGCGATACAACTGTTCGCGCAAGATGGATGACCACATTGCTTATGAAAAAATAATGTAAGACGCGATGGTGTGAGTGGTGAACTCGCAATGCTCTGCTCTATGCTACTAGTTTGAAGCACCATGACGAATAAGACAACCGCAAACAAACACAATATGGAAATAAAGCGAGGGAAAGGATGGGCGTTAACGACGGCGCAGAGATACAACTATTCGTACTTGATGGACGTCCGTGCTGCGTCTGAAAAATTGAAGGCGCGATGACGCGAAGCGTGAGTTCTTCAATACTCTGCTATGTGCTGTCGATGAGGTGTCGCTCGGATTCGGTAGAAAAGTTAAAGAAGAGGCCCGAACACATCTCTCCTACCTTCGCTTCGGCTGTGTTACTCACGTAGTGCTTGAAGCACGATTACGAATAGGACAAATGGAAAAAAACACATTATGGAAATAGAGGGAGGCAAAGGATGGGCGTTAACGACGGCGCAGAGATACAACTATTCGTACTTGATGGACGTCCGTGCTGCGTCTGAAAAATTGAATTGACGCGAGGTGTGAGCTCTCGATTCTCTGCTACATGCTGTCAATGAAGTGTCGCTCAGATTCGGGGAAATAAGTTTAAAAAGCGGCCCGAATACGTCTTTCCTTTTCAGGCTGCGTTGATACCCGTTCTTTCTTCTTTTTTCAGGTTCTTGTCTGATTCATTTTTAGGATGGATTTGCAGACCCACGTCTTAAGCTCGTGTAAACTGCAGCGCTGGCTCGGTCTTTTTGGAAATAATGGTGCTTGGATGCGTCTAGTGGCTTTAATTTCTTATGTTTTCTTTTAATTTCAGAAGTCTGTCGGTTACTTCAATACGTCAAATTTTGCAATTTTTACTCTGTACGATTAATAAACTTTGAACCTGAAAATAGCGTAAACGTTGTGCTGCTTTGCCAAAATTTTCTGAACCCCTCTCCACTTTCCTGATGAACTCGGTTCGAATGATACTATAAGATAATTATAATGCTTTTAAGTTTTCCTCATTTTACTTTACGTCAAATATCATTAATTTTACGGAATTAAGGAAAGAAATTTCTTCTAACTAGTCAGAATTACCGCCACCTCTATAGAGAGACGGTTTGGATTATTTCCTTCGGAAACATACTGATCAGTGGCAGTATAAGCGGAAAACAATGCATGATCGGAATTAGGTACTCACAAGCTCCGCACAGGAATATTTTGTATCATTGTTCACACTATTCATTTATTTTTTTAAAATTTTTTTCAATCTTTTACTTTTTCTAAACTTTTATTTGACATTTCACCTACTTACAAAGTATTAAGAAATATGTATCTTTTTCAAACGTACATAATGGCCTAGATTCTATGCAATGTAGCTTTTAAAACATTTATTTTCCGCTTTTTCTTGCTGTTCTGAGAGCCGTACTACCTAACTAGGTATCACTCCTCAATCAGCTTCTTTCCTCTAGGAGGCTCGCATTACAAATATATAAATTCAGATTAAGAAAGCCTAAGTTAAAAAGGTCTTTAGCATTACATCATTTTAAAAAAAAAACAATTTTTCCAATTTTCAGCAAAATGCAGCAACATTACTTCAAGAACACATCCTTGTAAGGAATCATGATAATTTTCCTTGGGAAAACTTACAAAAGAAAAACTTTCTTTAAGCTGGGTAAACGGACTCACCGTGAAAAAACCCACGAATTCCGTTGTAATTTTTTTTTCCAGTCTGGTTGTTCAGAAAAACCATTCCAAAAACCTCGATAAAATTTGAAGTCCCAGTATAGTGACACGTAAAGTGGATTGCATTTTGCAAAAAGAAACTCAGAACATTCCAATGTTCCTAGGATTGTGCAACTCATATTCCTTGCAATGAAATTACTGAAACCTTGCAAAAAATTAAATTAACCATGGACATTTTTGTATTGGATTTATAGTTTATGAGGAATGAAAATAAAGCTTTTTTGATGATCAGTTTATTTTTGAAAGGTAAAAAAATTTGCACAATCTCAGCGACATTGGCATGCTCGTGGTTCCTTTTTTCAAAATGCAATCCAGGTGTGGATCGCATGAGATACATTTAAAACTGAATCTAACTCCGATACGGCGAGATACTCGCGGATTGTTCGCAATAAAGCGTGTAGTTTATTGCCTGTTCCTTAATTTTCACCTTCTCGAAAATCGTGAAAAAATCACTCGGAGCGTCCCCTAGGATAGCAAATGAAATAACGTCAAAAACACCATACCTCTCTTCCTCGCGAAAAAGCGTCTTAATAATCATAACAATAGCTCGACGAGAGTAAACAGAATTTGAGTGGCATTCAAATTCAATTTAACTACACCTCTGCATGAGAGTGCCGGGAGGACTGAGTGTGGCGNGGGGGGGGGGGGGGGGGGGGGGGGGGGGGGGGGGGGGGGGGGGGGGGTAGAGTTGGAGCTACGACGGGAATATTAGAACGGAAGCCGGGATTATAATTGACTCCTGGAAGCGAGGATCCGACTCGGGAGCGAGAAAAATCAGCGACGGAGATTAGAATTAGAGAGAGAAAGCGGAGTAAAACGATTTGGAAGAGACAATGCGAAAACGCGACTCATCTGCAGGCGCACGGCGAGGAAGCAGCGACAGATAAATTCAGGGCGGGGGCGCTGTTTTATTTATTTACCGAGCGGGAGGAACGGCCCGGCGAAAAACCCTCCATGCCGGGGTGGATCCGCGGGGTGGGAATGCGCTACCCCCGGCGGAGGGGCGGAGCCTCCCGGAGCCAATCGCGTTCCCGCGAAGAGGAGATAGCCGCGTCCCGCACGCGGGATCACTCCCGACCCGGCTACAAATCCGTCAACCCTTCATCCCTCCGGTGTTTCACCCACGGATCCATCTCCGATTACGCGCGCAAATCGCCGTTTCATCCCTTTGACGGATCGCCCACGGAGTAGCCAGAAAAACCGTTTTCGTCTTCCGCACTTTCAGTCGAACTGTGGACCGTTCTGTAGCGGCGTTTTCCAAACTTTCGCTTGAAAATACGATTTATTTAAAAAGGTTATTTAGAAAGTTCTTCCAAAATCAAGTTTTATTATTGGTCGATCTCTGCCGAGTGATACAGTTTGACACCTTTAAAATAATACTCGCGCCGTGGAATCGATTTCTTGTCGGAAGAAAAGAAAAGTATACTTAAAATTGTGGTCATAAAGTTGCGATTTAGTTTAAATTCTCTAATTAGTTGTGTCAGTGCGAATTTCAATCAAGATTTTTGACTCCGACCGGAATTCTTAACTCGGATGGAATTTCAATTACAGTGCTAAAAAACTTCGACGAACAAGTTCTAAAATTCAGTTAATCAGTTCCGATCCAATCGACTATTTTTAGTGGTGATCAATTCGATTTATTCATTCGCGTTGTCTCCAAACGATTCTCACCACGTGTAAGCCACGGATAGTTATTAATCTAAACTCGACTTGGAGCGTTTCTCGAGTACCTGGTATCACGGCGTCGAACGAAATGTCCTCGCGCCAGGGCTGGTAAGCGTCGTAAAATGCTGAAGAAAGAGAAGATGATCGACACGGTCTCCTTGCGCCTGGACCCGGTGAACAAGCAGTTCCAACACAAGAAGAGCGGCAACGGCCGGGGCTTCCTGGAGTGCTACGCCAAGAACGGGCAGCTCCAGGACTTGACGGAGGACGACGACGCTCCGATGGGACAGGAGCTGCGGCTGGAGGACCTGAGCGGCGGGTGCTGCTCCAAGGGGAGCAAGCAGTACCAGGAGTCCATGAAGACGATCAAGAGTGGAGGCGCGTCGTCCGTCTTCACGATCGAGAGCATCCTGGCGCCCACGTGCAAGCCCTCGACGACGTGTCTGGACGTCTTCAACGTGCACAACGTTAACGTCAATGCCACGTCGCGGATCGGTGCCGGCTCGGGCCTCGCCTCGCCGCCGTTGATCAGGCACCCCTTCCCGCTCGGACACCTCGCCGCCGCCCTCAACCCCTCCGCAGATTTCTTCGGTTAGTCCACTTTCCATCTTACTCGGCATGTATTTTTTAAATACGTTCCCTGAAAAAGGAAAGAAAGAAAAAACTCCGGCCATGGACGCTGTAATTACGGGCTATATAGACATACCACTCGCGTTCCGGGCTCAGAGGCCGAAAGTTCTGGGCGTAGCACCTGGAAAAATCGAAGCTACGGCTCCAGCACCCGGAATTTATCGGCCTCAGACCCCGGAACGGACGGTTTGTCTATAAAGCACGTTACTTTTTTTTCAGTGCAAATTCGTTCTCAAAGCGATCAACCTAGGGCAGCGGTTTTCGACCGGTGATGGTCTTCGGACTACTTGGTGCGATCCGCGGACTGCCGCTGGTGGTCCGTGAAGGCTCGCCAAAAATTTATCGTCCGAACAGTTGAATTTAAAAAGCATATGATCAAAAAAAGGTCCATTAATTTTTCTAGTGGTCCACGACTGCCTCTTTTGACGGAAATGGAGCTCGCGGAAGAAAAAGGATGGAAAGCCGCCACACCGAATAAAAGGAAAGTTGATTTAACGTTCTGGATGTAAAAAAAGTGTGCGAGAACTCGCAAAATGCGGGATTACCGGCCACAGCAGTTAGTTCCACATCTTGATATTGCTTAAGTAGCTCTGTAGCGGTTAATTCAGCGTTTTGTGAGTTCTCGCACACTTTTTTTACATCCACAATGTCAAATCAACGTCACACTTTTTCGGTGTCACCCGTCGCTGTCACCCATTACTCGGTTACGCGTTATACTCTCATGATTTTATGTCATAGCGTCGGATATCAACAAATGTTGAAAAGGAAGTTTGCACACTTTTTTGGTATTTGCGGTAAAAGCTTGAGCGAGCATCTTCCGAGTTTCCAGTTTTAGTGGGCATAACATTTCCTTACATGAAAAAGAACTGGCTTCATTTTTCGTCTTTTTTTAGTTAAAAATAATTCGGTAATGGTCTAAGCAAAAATACTGCCCTCAAGTTTTGACAGTTTAAATAAGCGAGTCTTAAAAATGCCTGAAGATCGGAAATAATCATTTTAAAGAAAACAAAATTCTCTGAGCGCCTTCACCCTACTGCTCTGCTACAGGTACGGGAAAATGATTTTAAAAATAGATGTAGGTATCAATATACCTGATGATTTAAAAATAGTGAATTATAAAATTTTTACTGTCTACTTGTGATTTTGATAATACATCTATATTTTTTTCTTCGGAATTTTTATAACGGAACAAAACTTTGTGCGATGCCGTTCAAAAAAAAAAAATCCTTTTTTTTGTGTTCGAGTTGTAGTCAGGACACGGTAAAAACTGAAAGGTGCACTTTATTTGAAAAAGAATCCAACAGGCACAACTTTCTAGTGGTGAATAATTACTCTCCTATCTTTCGTGTTGCATTTTGATTTGAAATTCACGACGGCGTAAAGTTGGAAAAAAGACATCAGTGAAAAGTCCACTTTTTTGTCATGGGAACGGAGTTCCCCATGACATTACAATCGTTCCGTTGCTTTCGCAATGGGATTCCCTATACCTCTGCGACCTTGAGCGTTTCGCCCAGTCTCCGATTTTTGGTTGATTTTCCGATGTATCAAAAACCGTTGTATTTTTTAGCCAATCATGTCTCTACGTCAAGTTGTGTTGATTGCTAAAATTCGCTTTCAGCGAGTTTTTTTTTACCTTGAGATGTCGTTTCTGACTGGTAAATCTGCGCAGAACCACGAAGTTCCGTTTTTAGGCAAATTCTTTTTTTTGGGAGGTTTTCATTGGCTATTTTTCGCCATCAGTTTTCTGTTCGTTGGTGCAAAAGATCGCCTACCTCGTTGCTCTTGAGAAGCCACCATTATCCCACCTCAAATTTTAAACATAGATGTAAAGAAATAATAACCATCGTACAAGGTGGAAAATTGCTCTGGAGGACCCGTTACGTATATATGAGCCAAAATCAGAACTCGATTGATGGATTTAATCCATGAATACAGAAATATTGCCTCAGCTTACTGCCGCGATCGCAAATGCATAATGAGATGAACCTTATGACACATGACCGCATAGGTAAACAATGTCTCACAGAGTAATGCGCTTGATCCATTTGTCTCTTATCACGCCGGTGGCCGAACCGTTGAAATCTCAAGGACGTCTTTTGTGAAGCCCCGCTCAGCGTCCGAGATCACTTAACTGTTCTCTTTTTCTCCTCCCATTTCCGAGCCGTGAGATAGCTCAGTCAACTACAACGCCGTTCTGATTCTGGGAGAGTGTCACTTTTTGTGGGAGGGGGGGTTCAAATCTCGTAGAGGACAGCTAATTTTTACTGGTTGTATTGAATGTTTTAAACCAATAATCTAACAATAATTAATACTTGGCAACTTAGGAAGCACATAGGTCCCTTATGATGCGTATTTGGGCATATGTGTAGAGTAAAAATATCATACGTAGGGTGTCCCAAAAGTACCGGGACTGGTTCTGTAACTTCAAAAGTAAGATAGATGCAGACATGATTTTGGTCTCATTTTAAAGATCAACTCAATACCTATCGATTAAAACCAAGATCAGCTCAATCGAATAAAAATTGACCGAGTTATGACAATTTGAAATTAGTGAGGAAAGTTTACCCCTACGGTTTTTAGGAAGATTTTTCGCTTACCAGGATTCAAAAAGTTAATATTCGTATCCACTTTCCTCCGAATCTTCCATAACTTCCTTTTGCTTTTCAAAGTACCGTCCATCAAACCGGATGCACTTTTTCATGCGCTCTTGCCACTTATCCAACATTGTTTTCCTGAATTCTTCCTCTGGGATGGAGTTGAAGAAGTTTTGAATTGCATTCTGGATTTTTGTCTTCGATACGAATCTTCGTCCGCGAAGCTCCTTTTTAAGCGCAGGAAACATCCAAAAATCACATGGAGCCAAGTCAGGGCTATAAGGGGGATGAGGGATTGTTTCAACTCCATTTTTACTCATAAATTCACGTGTTAAGCTCGATGTGTGAGGCCGCGCATTGTCTTGATGGAGTATCCACGAAGCTTTCAAGTCCGACCGTTTCCGGGAAATGTGCATTCTCAACTCCTTTAGTACTTTGCAATAATACGCACTGTCAACTGTTGTGTTTGATGGTACACAATGTTGATAAATGACACCTCGAAAATAAAAAAACACAATAAGCATCACTTTATCGGCCGACTTTTCGATTTACGGCGATGAAGAATCTTCCTTAAAAACCGTAGGCGTAAACTTTCCTCGCTGATTTCAAATTGCCATAACTCGGTCAATTTTTATCCGATTGAGCTGATCTTGGTTTTAATCGATAGGTATTGAGTTGATCTTTAAAATGAAATCAAGATCATGTCTGTATCTATCTTACTTTCGAAGTTACAGAACAAGTCCCGGTGCTTTTGGGACACCTTATGTACACTTTACGCCGAAAAAGCGAACCTGAAACTTAAATGCGTTAACTTCCGAAAACCATATATAATCCAACGAAAATAAATAATTGGTACATAACAGCTTTCTTGTATGCAAAGAAAATAATTAAAAATGTTAAAAAAGAGATGTCAACACAAAATTACATAGCCCCTTCAATTCAGAAGATACTACAAACGAACTGTACCTTAACATTTTCATATCCCAGAAGCTAACGTTCCCATGACGAATATTGCTATCGCTAGCGATTGCAAAATCCAACTTGTCTCTTTTTCCTTTCGGTACATTTTCCCTCTAAAAATCATTTTTTCTAAAGCACTTGTGCAGTTTTACCTTGTAACAAAAGCATTTGTAATTGCAAGCTCAAGTCAACAATCTGGAAACACTTTATCACAACATTAATAAAATCCTCTCCGTCTCCACCAGAAAAGCAATAATCTAAATTTCAGATTTAACTATCCAAAACTGAGGCGGACATGAGCACCATCATAGCTCAAAACGTTTTGTTTCTCCGATGAAACCTCATTTTTTAAATCTCCTCTGCCCGAATCTATAGGTGCCTGGTCATAAAAAATAAGAAAGGTTTATTGATATTTGAGCATTTGAGTTTTTCTCATCCTTGAATTTTTCACTCAACTATAACAAAACGCAATGATATGATTTAGCTATGGTCTTACACAAGATGCACCGATTATACAAAAGACCATAAACGTTAAAATTTCAAGAGCTATGGAAACCGTAATATGTGATGAAAATTGAGGACTACGAGTTTTTTGTGCTTGGGCTATTTCATAAATACACGGCAGAATGTAAGAACACTCAACAATAGGTTATTTGAGCATCAGTGTCGGAAGCGGGTCGAAGTAACCTCATGAACTTTCCGCAAACATACTCACCTTAAAAAAAACCAAGACTTGAGAGAACTTGACGCTTTCGCATGAAACGCAATCATGCTAAAACAACCATGAAAACCTAATCTCAATAACGGTGCCGGGTCGAGGCCGAGAAGGGTGATGGCCATATTACGCCGCACTAAGCGAGAACAGCATAACTTCCATTGCAACTGTGTGTATGGTTACGCGATTGTTGGTATCCGAAGTAATGCCACCCCTGAGGCCCGCGGTGCCCAATCAACTATTCAAGCGTGGCCTTTATTTACACTCCATTTTCAACAAACAACGTTATTTCATCATTGCGCCCCTTTTTTAGGGGTGAGGGGGGGATTAGTCAGGAATTATAGCAACGAGTCTTGTCTTGTCTTGTCTTGTCTGCTTGAGGTCGTATTATAAGAGTCTATAGCATGTAAACGATTTAATCCTATTTCGGGAGATATTTTTCTTGTGTTTGCTTTTATGAAATCCAGAGACGGTTCATTCAGATTTGTGGTGGTTTTTTGTAATTTTTACATCGAAATTTTGCTCCGCTTGATAGGAGTCTTGAGCTCTAGCATAGCCCGATACATCGCTGATGGTCAAATATTTGAGGAGCAATATTATCGCTTCACCGCTCTGTAAAGGCCTTGCGTCCGCATCCCGCGCGGTTTGGGCGAAGAGATTTAATTATTTCAAATAATTAGACTATTACAATAAATTTGTATTATTTTTAACTCGAAATGATCAGGGAGATGATAAAATATTTTTTTATGAACAGATTGTTCATGTAAATTGATTAGATGGTTGAATCATTTTTATTAGACACGAAGTGCCATTGGGGGAAAAGATCCCTGCCCAAGGAGAGAGTTATCAGTTATGTATCCCTCATAACAAAGAACTATACTTTTTTGAGTTGAAGGCGTCTTGGTTTGTATCACAAAAATCTGTATAGTGTGGAAAACCTTTTTTTGTATTCAAGAAGAAATAATTCTTAGTGCCGTGTATAAAAATAAATCCATATAGTATTTTTTCGGAATGTACGTTGGATCGACATATTGATGGCCAAAGCGTGAAACCACGTACCTCCATTTAGGTGATGCAAAATGTCCGCTCCAATTTCATTTTTTCCGAAAGAGAGACAAGCCAACTTAATAGCTTGAAATTCCCACAGAATATTCTGCTGACGGAGAAAAGAAATCAAAGAAGTTTTCAAGAAATTATATCGATTCGTTTTCCAAAGAAAAAATAGACTTCGAAGGGAAATTCGTTGTCACAAATGGAAGTATATGGTATTACGCTTTAGCGATATCGATCTGTAAACCTACGAATCGCACGTGTTTTTTGAGTGAATCTATTTTCACAAATACTGAATAGGTTTGCATTTTCAACTCGAAGGTAATGTAATATTCTTGTTTTGAAGTAAGCAAAGGCACTCGCGGCTAACGATAATAGTTCCATTATTTTTGTAGCTATCTTTAAATTGAAGCAACATTAAAAATACTGTTTTTGGAATATTTCTTAATAACCGATTAGTATACGCTCAAAAATGTAACCTGGAAAGTAAACTCCCCTTTTAGACAAATGTCAAAGATGAGGCTAAATATAGGGAAATAAAACATGCAAAAACTAACCAGGCCGGAAGTAATGAATTCAATTATTCCGATAAGTTTGAAACCTCATTGTTCCATATTTATTCGATGCTTGAACGAGAAGAAAAATCGGGAGCTATGGAAATTGTTTTTCCGCGTCGCAGGAAAGTCGGAGGATCGAGGAAGTTGTATTTACAAACACTTAAGAATTCTGCCTTGGTGCGCTTGGAAAGTTCCCGGCGATGAATTTTGCATTCGCCTTTAAAAATTAGTTCATGCTAAGTTCGAACAAACAAAACATTTAAAACTTTTCGGTTGCCTCGTGTGCCCACAAAGTGAATGAGTTTTTTACCCGAGGAACGGGGCATTTCTTCCGGCAAGTATTCGCTCACATATGAACGACTCACGGCGGTATATTTCATTTAGGTTCAATCGTTTGGATCATTTCGACTTACTGCCGATTTCCTCCTTGGCAGTTAAACGACATTTTAAGTTTTAACTATGCTTCATAATGCACTCAAATGGCATATTCCTTGCCTTTTTTGGCGATGTGTTCATAATTGTGCATCTTGTTCGGAAATTTCATGATTAACGTAAAAGAGACTTCACTGGGGAAAAAAAACACATTGGATCTATAGAGTCCTGACTCTTGAAAACATCGACAAGAAAAAGGACTCTTGATTCAATCAGACTTAAGCTTAAATTATAAGAAAATCCGCTCAAATTAAGAGGCTTGGTTCTTGATTTAAGCTTACATCTGATTGAATCAAGAGTATTTTTTCTTGTCGATGTTTTTAAGAGTCTGGACCATAGATCCAATGTGTTTTTTTTCCAGTGCTGTGTCCTTTTTTTAGATTTTAAATTTTTACAAGATACTCAAAAAGTCTCGTTCAGTTTTCAATATAATTGAATATTCTTACCAGAACTTCAGACGTTGCACCCAGCGAAAAATCAGAGTCAAAACCTAGTTTTAAAGCGACTGCCTTGTTGCAAACCTTGTAAGTATTCCAATTCCATTAGATCAAATAAAGGGCTTATTGGAGGAAAAAGCTCCTAAGTGCAGTTTTTGAGAAAAATAGAGGTATTAATTATTTCAAGTGAAACTAGTCTTAATGTATATTTTGCGAGAAATTCGCTCCCGAATTCCAATTGTTATGCATCAAAAGGTCATTTTGAACTCTCTTTCCGCTATAAAGATCCATGCAATTTCGACACCGCAAAAATGTATTTATCGAAATAGCAAAAACTACACTCATGCGCCTTGTCCTCTAAACCCCTCAAAATAATGGTTGTCCAAATTTATCTTATAAAAGTAGGAGACCAACCTTTTTTTTAAGGATCCTTACTGTCGTCTTCTTCTATTGGAATAATGAAAATATCGTACTAAAATGAGAATACTGCTGAATGCAAAACATATACATTTTTTAAATGTCATTGATTACATTCTACTATCATCTCTAAAAATTTGTGTGTTACGTTACCAAACGGATATTTAATAACAGTTTCTCACGAGAGGGAGGACGCGACGATTGGGTGAAAAAACTAGGCTTTAAATGGAAATTGGTGGCGTGTTTGCGAGGATGCAACTATTTTAACTCTCATGTAAAGCGGCGAAGTCGGCTTTTGAAATGAAGAAGCATTTTACTGCCTCGCGTGTAAAGAATGAAGTTCGTTTCTTACATAGCACGTATGATACGGGTGCGCATGATATCGATAAACCTGACATATATTTGAGTCCAGCGGGATAACTTTCAATCTCGGAATGACAAATCAATAATTTTTGCACAAAGAATAAACGGGCCCACTGCATTTTTACTTTTTTATGTTATTAGATTCCCGAATCTATGAATGCAAAACCCTTCAAACCTATTACATTATTACATAAACATTATTTGAATTTGTTTTTGGTTCTCCGTCTTTTTATGCGGCTTACTCCTTATTAATGTACTTTTAATACTTTCCAAACTTAAAAAACGATATGTTTGCAGCTTTTGATTTGCCTCTGAAACTATATCTTGGACCATTGATTTGTTATCACGCTCGTATTTTGATTTACGAATTTCACCTCGATGATGATACGTCCCGTTGGCACGTTGAAAAACTTTATGCCCTCCAATAAAACAATTAATTATATCCTTTCGCAGTATAATAAAACAACATTTCGTTTAATATGAATTAACCGTCACTCAAAATCATTTTAACAACTGAGTAACATATGTATTCTACTGCACATTTTATCCATCACCACTTTTACCGAGTTTCGATCCATTATCTTACTGATGTAATCAACCATTATGAAATAGTTACATTCATTAAAAATTTAAGCATTTCATTGAGACCCCCTCCCATTCCACAAAGAAGTTACTTTTTTTAAAATTTTATTTCATGCATTGAGTAGAGTACATACATTGAGAGGCAAGTTCAGACAGCGTGAAACTGGAAAATATCCGTACTTCGGCTTATTTATTAAAAAGTTTGGTCGTATGTACCAAAGCTCTCGGTGTTCTATCATTCGGCACGTCAAACTAAATTTTCGGTTCGTCAAACCGAGCTTTCGGTTCGTGTAACCAAACTTGTGCAGCCGAAAGTTCAGTTTGACAAACCGAGTATTTGGGATGATATGGGATGCCGAACGTTCGGTTCACATACCCGATTGATTTTTTTTTTTTTTTTTTTTTTTTTTTTTTTTAACAGTATTTTCTATCATAAGCACTTCTATTTTTTCAGCGAGGGTAGCTTATCCAAATCTATACCCAGACTTCATGACACAGGCTGCTATGGCGATGGGAGTGCACTCCTCAGGGCCCCCGCCGAAGCGGAAAAGGAGACATCGGACGATTTTCACGGAGGAGCAATTAGAGCAACTGGAAGCCACTTTCGACAAAACCCACTATCCGGACGTCGTTCTCCGGGAGCAGCTTGCACTCAAAGTCGATCTCAAAGAAGAAAGAGTGGAAGTAAGTACATTAACATGCCACTTTAGACTGTAGCTGTAGCGTCCCTAAGACACAATAATTGAACCGATTTTTTCCAAATCACGTGAGCGCCAAAACTGCGAATGGCAGAAAAACAAGAAAAACCGTTTTATTCGCTCTCTTGACAATCCGTCGCCCTCCTGACATAAGGGCGTAACTGCACTCTGCAATGCACCCTATCGCCCGTACAATATTATACCCCCTTTTACCCCCATATTATCCCCTTTTCTTTTGTTTTTATAATTATAATTATGTATTTTATAAATATGACTTTTTTTAGTAAGTTTAAATTTTCTATAAATCACATATATCTTATAATATCTTTACAATATCTTCACAATATTTTTCCGGGCTCATCTCGATGTGCAGATATGCCCTTTTGTCAGCCGGACAACGAATCAACTTATTCTGTTTGAAATATAAAGATATTGATCACCAATTTTTCTCCCTCGCGTCTCAATTTCGTGAAATGTATCACTTAATACGAGCTATTCATAGCGACTGGTCCGTTTTTATTTTAAAACCGCCCCTGGTTCCCTTTTTTCCTCATTTCCCCATTTCCTTTTTTTCGTGATTTCATTACTTAGTTTCTTTCAAAACCCACCCTAAAAATGATGTTTTTTCCCCATCGCCCCTAAAACAAACGCGTGGGCGTGGGTGGGGATGTAAATAAACGGCGGTGATGCATGAAACACAATAGCAAGCACATGTCCCGTAGGTCATGGTTGGAGAGCGTGGGCTCGGGGCGATGTCAACAAGGCGACGATTATTTTGGCAGTCAATTTGCTCTTGCTGATCAGCAAACAGGAGTTGTTTGCTGACGTCGAAAGACTCTAACTAGTTGCAGTCGTCGCTTGCCTCCAAGGCAAAGTTGAAAAATAACTTCATTTGCCAATTAAACTAAAAAAAAAAAAAAAAAAAAAAAAAAAAAAAAAAAAAAAAAAAAATTGTCATTTTTAACATTTATCATTCATGCACAAAATTCATTGAAACATGCTTGTGTGTGCAATTCAATGTTAAGTAAATATGACTCTATGAACACTCGCAGAAATTCAAAAAAATTCAAAACTTGTGTGTCATAACAAGCACAAATCTTGTGTTCATACGACAAATCTTATGTTCGTGAAAAATCTGAGTTCTAGGATTGAAACAAACTTTTTGGCAAGACATGGAATTGGATTGTGTTCAGAAACAAAAGATTGATGGCAAACAATCACCTTGTCGGTGTGCTGTGTTACTCTGTGTGGCTCAGCGTCAATTTTGTCAACAACACAAACTTTAACAATTGAAACATCGACTTTGGCGAGAATTTCCGTTATATCGTATCGCAAACCTAGACCAACACTCCAACACGGACCAACGTAACCATACCACAAATTTCTAGGAGTGTATTCTCTGGCACTTCGCTGAACATCGGGTCCCAACATTTCCACATTCCCCAAGAAAGTATCACAATCTCAAGTATAATCCCAGCTGATTTTTGCGCCAACCATAAGAGTAGTTGCACTAGCAACGAGTGTAAAGACACCAGCTGGCAGTATAGTCAATCCAACCATACTTATGCTGACTACGAGGACACCAACCAGAGGTATGGTTGATCCAAGCACACTTTCAGCCGACTTAACAAGATCTCTGGCTCGTGCAACTAATCTAATATCTCGCGCCAAAATCAGCTAGGAATATAGTTGGGATTGTAATACTTTTTTCCGTGGAATATTCTCTTTTCGATAGCAAAGCAAGATAATGACAAGGTTTCAATTTTTCATGAAAAATAAAATCTTGAAAATATCTTGTGAAATATTTCATGAAATTTCAGAATAATATGAAAAAGATTGAAAAATATTTTTCGAAATTAAATGCAAAATTAAGTGAAAGGCGACTGATTTTTGCCTTGTGGTACGTATTTTAGTGCGTGTTGCATATACCCAGCCCCTGAAGATATGTTTCAATAATTTTCATATTTTACACAACTATGTGAAATTTTATGAAATATTTCGCGGAAATTTTCAATATTTCATATTTTTCATTTCACCCGTGCAACTCTGGATAGCGACGACTCAAAGAAATTGGCAACGGGGTAGGGCACTCGGATTCCTCTATAGGCATCGAGTATTGGTTTAGGTATCGAGACGGTGGCAAAATATTCGGTGCCACCGTGCCGCGCCGCGCCTGCCGCTCGCCAAAGGCTAAAGGTGTTGCGCGGGCAGCTGTTATGTCCGACTCCGATTAGCGTGTAAACATACCCAACACGAGCACTCGTGTTCGCCAACAAAAATGTATCGGGTTTCATCATCGTCACCGCCAGCGCCCCGATTCGGCTGACTGCATTCTGACTCCCAGACAAACTCTGCTGTGTCCACTTCTCACGCCCAGACATCCAATTAGTCCGAAATTGACATTAGGGACGAGATTGTGACGTCACTCACGACATTTCGCAGTTTGACTTGATTTTGGCTCTTCAAAGAGGCTCATCGATGGAACTGTTGACTGTTGTCTTCAGGGATAATCGGCCCGACGATCTTTTCCCGGAATCACACGCTAAATTTTACACCTGAATATGGAAGGTAACAGTCATCGCTCAGCAGCTGAAATTTCGCAAATTCGAGTTATTTTCATCCAGATGTGTATCAAATCTATTCGAATAGTTCGGACAAATCCGACATTATCCCATGGTCGCTGAGAACCGTTGCTGACTTTTGCGTGTGTCGCGCAAAATTTAGGTATCGGGCCTTCAATCGAACTTATAAGCTACAGAGAGAATTCCATGAGAAGTATAAATAAACCAAAAACCTCTGTTAAAAAAACTTCAGTTTCTTGCTGAACTGAATATCGAACTGCATTTCTATAATGACTGCAGATCTCTCCGTAGACTTTCAGATCATTGCCTCTTTGATTAAAATTTGACGTATTTCTGCCAAACGGAACTATGTGCATTACAACATGAGCCCTGAAACCCATAAGAAAATATACATAACAGGGCTCAAGTCATAATGCATATAGTTTCGTTTGGCAGAAATACGTCCAATTTTCCTTGCAGCCCGCGACTTTTCGAAATTTAAGCTCCGAAGAGGCTAATAAGTCTTCTGTAAATGTCAAAGTTAGCTTATTAATTAGGCTTTTCTACAAGCCCACGACAGCTCCGAAGTTGAGTCGCAGAGCTCCAAATTCGGGTTTCGGTAGGTCACCGAACCAAGCGTCAGGGTTTTTAGGCGCTCTAAGCGGAGGAACGAGCGAGCGCTTCAAGCCGGGAAAGCGGAAAGCTGTTATTGTAAAATGCGAAAAAATGTTTTCATTATAAATATTATGCCGACGATTGCGGAGCAAAAATACAGGATTCACATTATATTATAATAATTTAAAGATAAAAATCCCGCCTTGCAACCCCCTCGGCTCGACAGCGGCGGGGGTTACGGGGGGTGAGTTCGAGGAAAAGAAGATGCGCTTGATTTGGCTCTATCTTGTTTACTTTCATAATAGAGATTCCCCTGCTCTCAATCCGCCTGCTTGTCTACACCTCGCCCTTCTACCCCCCTTCTCTCATGTTGCTTCTCGTCTCCTCCCCTCCAACCCACCCTTAAATCCTTCTTCTAGCAAATTAGACTCCATATCACTAAAAGCTCGGATTCCTGGTTTTCCTCTGTTGGCACATCGAGTTACGATAAAATCACAGGGTGCTGCAAATTTAAACTTTGTCGGAAAAAGCCATTATCGTCAATGAGATGGGAATGACGGTTGTTCATAAATCATGAGGTTAGAGGTTAAATTGTGCTGGTCTTTAGGATCTTTTCTTTTTTCTTTTCAAAATAATTACCGTATGTCCCTAATCCTATACCTACTAACTCCCACTTCTAAACTATTTTATTAAATGTCTCTAGATGGCAGTAAGCTCCTAAACTGGAGTAAAATCCACTAAAACAACAGAAGAAGAAAAGAGGTTAGGAGTTATTGGTGACGATTTCTTCATTGTTATTCGTCACCAATGCGTGATCGTTGATGGGGAATGGGAGCATTGGAGCAATCTAACTTAGTACCAAAAAACCCGTAGAATATTTTAATTTTCATTCATTTCATGCCCTTATACATAGAGATGCTTAAGACAACCTAAGTCGCACGGTAAACTCGGTTCCTTTATCACGTGTTGTATGTTCTTCAGAATAATGATATTTTCAATAAGCGAAGATTATAACCCAGGAGTCCTGTACGCAAGCGTTTACTACACGTCTAAAACTGTCTATTACAACACGTTGAATACGATGGTTGGACATAACGCTTAATTTTTGTATTACTCCTGATATATTGCAGTATCCTCTATACATTTTTGAGGTTTTAAAGTTGGAACAACCTATAGAGTATTGTAGGCTTATTTAAAATCTTTTCAACTTCAAAGACATGGTTGGTGTTTATTGTTCTAGTTGTTCGTTTAAGTCTCCGAGTTAATTGTATAAAACTATTCTGAGAAACGATACTTTATCCTTTTATTTCAACGGAAGAAGCATTCTAATGGCTTACCTACTCATATCTTACAAAATCACATTCCGCAACAAAATTAGAAATATTGAATTTTTGAGCGTTATTCGTTAGCTTGACAGTTCTTCAACACCATGGACTGTAATCGCTAGCCCATACTACCGCACCCAAAATACATATCGACGGTGTAAGTCGGCAATCACGCAACTCGGTCTGTGACTTTGTAGACTTCCTGTCATTTTTTAAATGGAAAACTACTCAACGGAAATTCTTTTAAACTTATGTTTCTTCTCTGTGCGAAGAAAATTCTGCAAAAACTTTAAAGAATGATGTCAACTTGCTCTCCTTTAAAAAGAATAATATAGAGGCGGAGATTTTCAGACACCGCAAACGAGTTATGTGATTGCCGACTTACACCGTCGATATTTTATTTTTAACCTCTCAACGTTTCGTAAAAAAAAGAAAGTGGACATTTATAATGAATTCCGTTACACTCGATGCTTAGTTCCAATATT